AGACGATGGGAGTGACTTACAACTCTACCTTGCTGTCACCGAAACTACAGTTAGCGCGACTCTAACGTAGGAAGCTCCAGGCTTCTAACTCATTTACTTTGTGAGTAGGGTGCTTAACGATACAGAGGTGCGGTACAAACTGATCAAGAAGGTTGCTCTTACATTACTGACAGTGTCGCGCCGTCTAAGACCTTATTTCCAGAGCCACCAAGTCGTCGTGCAAACCGACCACCCCATTGCAAAAATATTAAGAAAGCCAGACTTAGTTGGTCAGATTGTCGGATGGTCGGTAGAGTTGTCTGAATTTGGGTTGCGTTTTGAACCGCGTGGATCGATACGGAGCAAACAATTGGTAGAATTCACGTCAGAATTGTTGGTGAGTGAAGAAAATGCCATGCAACCTTGGAAGCTCTTTATTGATGGATCGACCAGTGGAATGGGAGGAGGCGCAGGGGTAGTATTGGAGGGACCGAACGGGTTAGCAGTAGAGGAATCGCTCATCTTTCAGTTCAAGGTCAGCAATAATCAGGCTAAATATGAAGCCCTAATTGTCGGACTGGAGTTGGCCCAAGACTTGGGAGCAGAGTGTGTGGAATGTCGAACAGATTCACAATTAGTGGTTGGTCAGATGAAGGGAGATTTCCAAATCAAGGATGATCAAATCCTTCAATACTTCCATAGGGTCACGAATTTAACGCAATAGTTTAAAACTGTCGAAGTAACACACATCCCTCGGGAAGAGAACACCAGGGCAGACATTTTGTCGAAGCTTTCCAAGGGCAAAGATAGTGGGCAGTTGACCTCAATAATGCGGCGAATCATGACAAAACCCACTATAGATTGCATGTCGACGTCGGTAGAGCCCGACCGGGAAGACTGGAGACGGTAATTCATGATGCGAATGAAGGAACAAGAAGAGGGGCAAGGTGTTTCGGCCAGGGATGCCAAGCGTATAGCGCGCTACGTGTTGATAGGAGGAGGGCTATACAAGAGGGGATTTGTAATGCCCCTACTTAAGTGTGTTTCCCAAGTAGAGGCAGAGTATGTGTTGAGGGAACTACATGAAGGAGCGTGTGGTATGCATACCGGAAAGAGGGCTTTGAGAGCTCGTGTGTTAAGAGTAGGGTATTTTTAGTCCACATTGGAGAAAGACTACAATGACTTCGTCTGAAGTGTCTCAGCTCTCAAAAGCATGGCAACATGCAGAACTTACTGACCACTGAGCTTCATATCCTTATATCCCCATGTTTGTTTGTCTAGTGGGGAATGGATATCGTGGGACCTTTCTCGGTCGGTAGAGCTTAAAAGAAGTTCCTTTTGGTAGCTGTCGGTTATTTCACTAAGTGTGTCGAGGCTGAACCACTTGCTACCATCTCCGCAACGCAGGTGCAAAAATTCATGTGGAAAATTGTGTTCCGTTTTGCTTTGCCGAAGGTCATCGTCACGGACAATGGAAGGCAGTTTATAGATAGGAAGTTAGTAGAGTTCTACCGAAACTTAGGCATAAAACATGTAACCAGTTCTGTAGAGCACCCTCAAACGAACGGTCAAGCGGAGGCCTTGAACAAAATGATAGTTAACGAGTTAAAGAAGCGTCTTGGTGAGAGTAAAGGCGCATGGGTGGATGATCTCGGTGCACACCGCATGGGACTACTGAGGAAACACCTTTCAACTTAACTTACGGCACAAATGCAATGTTGCCGGTCGAAGTAGGAGAGCCAACCATAAGGAGAAAGATGGCGGACTTAAAAGTCAATGAGGAACATTTAAGAATGAATTTGGAGACCCTACTGGAAAGGCGAGACATAGCAGTTGTCTACGCGGAGGCCCGGAAAAGGTTAGTAGCTCAGCGGTACAACACGAAGGTTAAATTTCGCCAATTCAGGAAAGGGGATTTGGTCTGGCGAAAAACTGGACAGGCCAGGAAAAATCATGCTCACGGGGAAACTGGCAGCGAATTGGGAAGGCCCCTTCAGATTAAAGGACAATCTCAACAATGGAGCCTACCGATTGGAGTACTTGAACGACAAATCTATTCCTAATACCTGGAATTCGTCGCACCTTAAGTTTTATTTCAGTTAAGCGTCCATGTATCTCCATTCATTATCAATAATATCAGATTTTGCCGTCCATAATTTTCTTTTGCAAGTTTTACCTAACGTGAAATCCCGGGAGACCATGTGAAGACACTCAACCATGGTCTTGTAGTGAGCAGCTCACTAGCAATCCCGGGCGGCCATGCGAAGACACTCAACCATGGTCTTGTAGTGACCAGCTCTCGGCGGCCACCCAACTCACTGGGGTCTTCTAGTGATCTATTCACTAGCAATCCCGGGTGGCCATGCGAACACACTCAACCATGGTCTTGTAGTGACCAGCTCACTGGCGTCTTCTAGTGATCTACTCACTAGCAATATCGGGCGGCCATGCGAAGACAATTAACCATGGTCTTGTAGTGACCAGCTCACTAGCAATCCCGGGCGACCAAGTGACCAACTCACTTACATCTTCTAGTGATCTACTTACTAGCAATCCCGGGCAGCCATGCGAAGACACTCAACCTTGGTCTTGTAGTGACCAGTTCACTAGCAATCCCGAGCGACCAGGTGACCAGCTCACTTGCGTCTTCTAGTGATCTACTCACTAGAAATCCCGAACGGTCATGT